CCGCACATCTGGCACAGCAGCCTCTGCACGTCCAGCTGCCTCCCGCCGCAGCTGGAGCTGTGCCCGTGCCCTGCAAGCTGAACCCTAGCGAAGCTCTGTCCCCCAAGGTCTACGGGGGTTTCCAGCTCGTCCCAGCCACCGACGGCCAGTTTGCTTTTCTCATCCCGAATCCTGCTTTTCCACCCAGCTCCGGACCGGTTATTCCCCTCTATGCCAACGCCAACGTGCCGGTGTCCGCGGGTAGTGGCTCAGGGAATGCTGCTGCCACCCCCTCAGCATCCCCAGTGCAGGGTTTGACATCATTTGGGGGCAGCATTGGTCCAGCGTCCCAGGCTGGGAGTCCTGTTGGAGAGCGCAGTGAATCCGTCTGGAGACCCTGGTGACTTCCCTCCAACTATTCCCTTTCTCTCTCCAAACAAACTCTTCTGTTGGCTCCGTTGTATGGAGCCCTGATATGTTTTGGGGTTGTTATTTTTTTTTTTTTAAAAAGCAGATTTAAGCAGAAATGACACAAAAAAAGGACCTCACTATGAACATGCTATTTATTATTTTCAGAGGTTGAGCTCTCGACTTGTATTTTTACTCCTTTCAAAATGCCTTTATTTGAGATACTTTTTTTTAAAGAACGACAACGACAAAAAAAATAAATAAATGAGAAATAGTTTTGTAACAAATATTCCAAAAGTTATAATGCCAAAGTTGTTTGTATCCCGTTTGTCTGTGGGTGTGTGTGTTGTTTGCCTGTGGTGAAGACTTCCAAAAAAGAAAAGAGACAAAAAAAATGCAGGTGTTTAAATAAAGAAACTCTTTGAAATAGAGATTTTTTTTTTTTCACCCCTTTCATTTGGTTTGAGAGTGGACAAGAAGCTCCAAAAAAAAAAAAAAAAAGTAGGGATGAACTTTATGGCTTTAACTAAGGCTGTTGGAAGGGATTGTGGTGCAAAATCGCTGGGGGAAAGGTGATGGGGTGAGGGAGGTGTAAATATCTCCTGAGAGCTTTGCAAGTGTTATGTTCCCACTCAGGGGGAAAAAAACTGATTCCTTAAAAAAAAAAAATCTCCTGGAAGCTGAGGAAACACATGCTGCTTGCTACCTGCTCCTGAAACAAGGCTCCTCTGCAGCTTTCCCTCCTTCCCACCTCTCCTCTGCGTGTGGGGGTGGCTGCACAAAAGTTACTATCTCGCCTACAAAAGAGGCAAGAGAGTCTGTCCCTATTGTGAGGAGGGTAATTAGAAGGTATAAAGGGTCTCATCGAGTATGCAGCGGGCTCTTTGGGAAGTTGGGAGCCCTATTGAAACTCCTGGGAACTCGGAGCTGAGGGTTAATGTGTGTCTTTTTTTTCCTTGCCACTCTCATTGACAGGGCCAGATAGACTCTGATACTCAATGCTGTTGTAAATTCAATTGCTTGGCCTCACAATGCCTACCTCATAAAAGAGAAGAACTCGGGGTTGTGGCTTTTTTCTTTGCCAGTAAGCAAGGGAACTGAGGAAAAGACAGTTCTGCCACCCATTCTGACTCACCCCCAGCACTTGAATCCTGGCCAAGTGGAAGCAATTGCAGCCTCACACACAGAGAATTAACCACTTCCAATTGTCACCAATTAATAAGGCCGTGGGGTGGAGAAAGACCATTAAGAGGGAATGCAGAGGATGGAAGGGAAAGCTTTGTGTGCTTTGCTCCCAATCTATGAGGTGGGGCTATCATGTAAGCTCCAAGGGAAAAGCCAACACATTTTGTATGTGTGCCAAAGGCATCACCCACCTTGGCTGGGCTTGCTCCATCCTCGAGGCCATGGGATCCCAAAGCTCTCCTGACCACCCTGTCCCTGAATCCAAGGTGTTTTCTTGGTGGATGGGTTGGATCATAGTGGGCAAAGCTCTCCTGACCACCCTCTCCCCAAGACCTGGGGCTTTTCCTGATGGATGGGTTAGATCACGGGGAATCCCAGTGGGCAAAGCTCTTCTGACCACCCTCTCCTAGGTTTTCCTGCTGGATGAGTTGGATCACAGTGGGCAAAGCTCTCCTGGCCACCCTCTCCCTGAAACCAGAGAGTTTTCCTGCTGGATGGCTTGGATCACAGTGGGGCCAGCAGTTTTTTTTTTTTCAGTTCAGAGCCTGACTTGATGTTTGCAGAGCATTCAATAATACACAACAAGCCCAGGGATGTTTTGGGAATGGCAATGCAATTCCATCTCTCAAGGTCTAGATGTATTAGCAGTCAGGTTGCAGCTTCTGTGAGCACAGGGTGTGTGTGTCTGTGTGTGTGTTGGGGGGATAGAGAGCAGATTATCTGCTGCTGAAAGCTTTTGACAGCTTCCTAAGAGTTCAGGCACGGTGAGTACAGGCTGCTTGGAGCCTGGTACTGATCCAGTCCAGCAATTCCTCTGCACCAAAGCGTGGGCAATCGATCAGTCTGAAAGTCCTCCATCACACAACCAGCACTAGGTATCCATTTGAATCAGGAGCTTTCCCAGGAGGTTTTGTTATGCAATCACAGACATAAAATCATGTTACAGCAATTCTCCTCCATCCATCCCCCACAGGCAGTTCCTACCCCTCCTCTTCTGTCTGAAGAAGGCTTGGAAGAGCAGATGAAAGCCTGCCTGTCGCCTGCCTGTAACTGAATCCCTCCCTGGGGCAGCACCACATCTCTGGCCTCGTCCCTCACTGCCCAATCCCCCCCAGGTCGCCCCTTCATTCACCACATTTATTGACAAGGTCCCCAGGCCTGTCAAGCACTACAGTGCTGAGTGCAGGCAGGGAAAAAAAAAAAAAGAAAAAAACCCCCACAACTCTTTTTGAGTGGGTTTGGAGTGATTGCAGCAGTGCAAACATGACACACAGCACAGTGTTCCTCAGGGACTCTCATCTCCTGGTGTCACTCACTGCTCTGTCTCTGAGTGACACCCTGAAATGCAGCATGGCAGGGGACAACTGTCAGCTTAGGCTCCACAGAAACACTGCAGAGCCCCAGGGGTCAGTGCTCATGTCCAGCACTGCCACCTGCTCTCCTTTTGGCCTCAGGTAAGGCATAGACTGCTCTGTGCATAAGTCTGGTGGGACACAAGTCAGACCATGCTGGTCCATGGCACCAACATGCCAGAAGTTCAAAATCCTTCCAAGGGATGGTGTTGCCATTGAATCCAGGTGATTTTAGAAGACATACAACTGTTCAATCACTCTGTCTGCCCATGGGTTGTACCCAGACCCTCCACTTTGTCTCTACCAGGCTGTTCTTCCATCCAGACCCTCCACTTTGTGTCCACCAGGCTGTTCTTCCATCCAGACCCTCCACTTTGTGTCCACCAGGCTATTCCTCTACCCAAACCATCCACTTTGTCTCTACCAGGCTAATCCTCCACCCAAACCCTCCACTTTATGTCCACCAGGCTGTTCCTCTACCCAAACCATCCACTTTGTCTCTACCAGACTATTCTTCTACCCAAACCCTCCACTTTATCTCTACCAGGCTGTTCCTCTACCCAGACCCTTCACTTTGTGTCTACCAGGCTGTTCCTCTACCCAAACCCTCCACTTTGTCTCTTCCAGGCTATTCCTCTACACCAGGAATGCTGCTATGCTCCTTCAAGGCTCTCTCCAAAGCTGCTTTTTCCAGATGGAGCTCAATTTGGTCTTATCCCTTTAAAGGTGCAGTAAAAGAGCAAAGTATGTGGCTGCTGAAAGGTAAAAGTCCAAAGGGATGGAGGCAGAGCCAGGGCGATAATGGCTCTGGAGCACAGGGAGTTCAGGGGGGTAATGGCATGATCCGGGTGTGGTGGAGGAAGGCCAGGAGGGAGGAAGATGATGAAAACCCGGGATGCCTCCTCATCTGGATTGAACTGCAACAGCTGCACCTCATTCCATGGGAAAGGATATGGGGCTAGGTGTTAACGAGCCATTTCCAGAGCAGGGAATTGAGTTCCAGGCACAGAAGTCAGGGAAAGGTTTAGCAGTGCTTCTCTCTCAGCTGTGTCTCACAGCACTGTGGCCCCACAAGCATCTTGAGGACTTCTGGGCAGTGCAAGGAAAGGGTCTCCAGGCAAGAAGCAAAGCCACACAACAATATCTGCCCCTTCCTGCACAAGGACCTGCTCAGAGGGACAGTTCCTCTCTCCCCACCATTCTGGAGCACTTTAAATAACAACACCAACATCAGCCTTGGAGGGAGTTGGAGTTTTTGCCTTCCCTACAAGCCTTGGTTGCAGCAGGATCATCTGAGCTGGAGTTGTGGCACTGGGTTTTATTTCCTCCTGATGGATGTGTTGGTTAAATGTAATAGAAGAGGAGAGATAGCAGAGCAGAAACTTTTTCTAACAACACCAATATCAACTATGGAGGGAGTTTGAGGTTTTTTTCATGCCTCCCACAGCTGTTTCCTTGCCATCTGCCTCTAACAGCCACATCTCCTTCTCTGCTGCTGCTTAGCTGTTCCCCTTCCCTGCCCAGGAAGGAATGATGCAGCTGAAGGAGGTCTTGGCCATGCTGGCTGGAATTGGTGTTCCCCCTCAAAAAACCCTTTCCCATCCACTGCTTCCAAGCTCAAGACAACAGCCCCAAAGTGGGGTCTATATGACACCTATCCCTTTCTTTACCCCCTTGTTAAAGAAAGAGGTTATTCATCCAAAGCCTGTGGGGTGCAGGGCTGGGAGCTGCCATCCCTCCCTTTCCACATGGGTGGAAAAGAGCTGCTGAAGGACCTGGTGGTGTTACAGAAGGATTGGGGGCTCCAGGGTTGTCTCTCTGTTATTCCACAGCTGCCTGGGACTAGTTAGGCAGAGGGAGGTGAGAGCATCCCTGGGAGCCAGGGCAGGGAGACAGGACAGCACACACCTCCCTGTCCTTTGGGCTCCTCCTGCATCCCCAGAGCCCCTGGGAGGAGAGGGAGCCTGGCTCAATGCATGCAGCCAGCTTTCCTCAGGCTGTTAAGCTGATTAATTGAAATGAAGTTCCTCCAGAGAATCAGAGTGTTCTTTGAGGTCAGGGTCACAACACTGAGACGCTTAATCAGATCTTTCCATTTAGCCCCTCTTAGGCAGGCTGGAATGCAGCTCTTTCAAAGCAGCTCTTGGCGCCAAATTTCTGCTCTGCTATCTCTCCTCTTCCATTACATTTAACCAGCACATCCATCAGGAGGAAATAAAACCCAATGCCACAACTCCAGCTCAGGTGATCTTACTGCAACCAAAGCCTGTACGGAAGGAAAAAAAAAACCAGCCCAAGACCCAACTCCCTCCAAGGCTGATGTTGGTGTTGTTATTAAAAGTGCCCCAGAATGGTGGGGAGAGAGGAACTGTCCCTCTGAGCAGGTCCTTGGGCAGGAAGGGGCAGATGTTGTTGTGTGGCTAACAAATGCCTTTATCTGACTGAAGCATTTCCCTGGG